AGGCTGTCCAGATGGGAAAGTCTCTGTCAAACAGGATCTTTTATATTCTCTAAATGGATTCTTCCACTGTTCTATCGAGCTGGTCGGAAACTTATTCTTGTTATGATATAGCAAGCAGGCTGATTATTCAGGTGAGGAGGTCCATGTTATCTCTAAATGTATTATTCAGTCGTCCTGTCTGAGAGATAAATGGACAGTAATAAATAACCACTATGGTTCAGCAGCTGATACAAATTATCAGAATGAAAAATATTTGAGAAACTTTTAGTGATTTTATCAGTTCATGAAGAGGAAAGAGCTAGTTCTCAATATTGAGTTAAGAAGCCAAAAAGAACTGGCTAAGAATCTGAACAAGAAATCTTGAGCTATCTAAGTCATGAAAGCAACAACTATGGGCAAGCTAGAAAATGATGAGAGCTCAAGAATGAATTTAATTTTTTTTGTCCCTTTACTTTATCTCTTTCTCTGATTTTCGAATGGTTATGTAGTGAATGAGAATCTTTTTCAGTTTAGTTGATCACTCTGACAACTCAATTTTAATTGCTAATGTAAGTATCTTACTTTGAGAAGTTTTGAATCAACAAGCTCTTCCTTATAGTCTTGTACTGTTATCTAATAATTGATATTTAGGCATTTTTTTTCTAGATTGTTGGTTATTGTCGAGGAATTATGAAATGGCTCATCGGTATGCATACTTATTTTCGAAGTTGTTGATTAGTCAAGGCCATACGTTTTGTGGATGTAAAGTTTCATATTGATGAAAGGAAGCCCTTGTGAGAAAGTAAAAAAATAATTGTTTTAGAAGGTAATGAAGTAGTGAAACGTGGATTTGGATGGCTATTGATATCTGGAAAGATGGCAGTGTTTCATCCTGTGGATAGAATATTGATTAATTTGATATTATATTGCAGGTGAAGGTCCTTTTTCTTATTCTGATGGATCTTTGTCGCCGGACTGCTGGTTTGGTACATCCGCTGCCAGTTTCTCAGGTTGGGAGCAACAACATTCAGGTCCGCCTTCATTATATTGATGGGAACTATACTGTATTGCCGGAAGTAGTTGAAGCTTCCCTGGGACCTCACATGCAGGTAGTTCACTTGAAGCTCCTTCCTAACATTCATAAACCTCATATCGGGTCATCCTTTTTCAATTATGTGCACTACAAGAAAATAAGATGTGAAAGAAAAATGTTTGTCGGGTGGGGGGAGTTCAGCTGTTTATATTTGTTGAGCTCATTGGGCCACTTTTGGTACTTCAAATCTCCTTGACAGGAAAAAGAACAGCAAACAACTTGAAAAAGACAACTCATGTAGGGATGGGTAGAAATCCCCATAATCCTTAGACACTTATCTCATTCCCCTTTCTTGCAGAATATGCCTAGGCCTAGAGGTGCAGATGCTGCTGGGCTGCTATTGCGTGAGTTAGAACTCCATCCACCTGCTGAGGAATGGCACAGGAGAAATATGTTTGGTGGACCTTGGTCTGATCCAGAAGATGTGGATGACAATTCTAAGCTTAGCCCATCAAGGGATTTGACACAGTACAGCTCATTAGAAAACTGTGATGTATATTATGGAGCTCATGGTTTGTGGCCTAGGAAACGCAGGATGTCTGAAAGAGATGCTGCTTTTGGGCTGAATACTTCAGTGGGGCTGGGTGCATATCTTGGTATAATGGGATCTCGACGAGATGTTGTGACAGCTGTTTGGAAGACTGGGCTTGAAGGGGTTTGGTACAAGGTTTGTCTGACTTTTGGATCTCTATATATCACTTGATTCAGTTTTTTGCTTTTATTCATTTTCTATGGCATCTCTTTGCATGAAGGCATAATGTTATAATTAAGCAAGTTGGATTGTGTATTGGAGAGAAATAACTAGGTCGGTGTCCCTAACGTGTGAACAACAGAAGTCAATCCTAACGTTTATTATGCACAAATTTAACTTGGATAAAGTCGACATATTTTTCTTGTTGAAATTATAACAAGATGTTATTTGAAATTGCTTTAATTCCTTCGTCTAAACAATGATCAATGTTTGTTTTGGTGTTGTGGTATTTTAGTTTCCCATATGTCTATGTATGCTATGACTTTCATTTCATTTCCAGAAAATGTCTAGGGATTTGCTCTCTTCATTCTGCATTTGAGTTGGGAGGTATTTTTATGTCATAAATGTTATATTTGCTACCTGTGTTGCACAAAAGTTTATTAATGATTTCCAAATGTTAACTCTTTCTATGGTGAGTGATTTTTAAATGCTAGGTTTATTAAGATCAAAAGGTTTTATTGTTCATTAAACAAATGATAATTGTTATATTTCAGTTTTCTACCCTCTATGTATGACACATGTATACAATCTAGTATTAGATTTTCATAGGTGCATATGTTTAATGCTGCAGAGGTCAACTTGTATGTTGGTGTTGAATCTACTTAATGTTGATCAGTTAATGGAAGTTAGTGTGTAGGCCACATCATGTGTTGTTTTGCTGATCGGTCCTTGGCTTTTCCGATGAAATAGTCAGTCAATCACTGTATTGTAACATCTGCCCAATGAGATAATTTGGGAAAAGCAAAACAAAGAAAAAAGCTTCACTCGAACTCTATTCTTCTTCCAGATTTAGTTTTAATTGCACTTGGCATTACTTTTCAATATAATTTTTTTTTTCTATTTAAGAGCAGATGGTTTGTAAACATAGTCTTATTCCTATAACTTTCGTTGCTGCAATGTCGATACTTCATTGATATAGAGTAGCACAACAGGAAATTTTGATCATAGTTTCAGTTTAGTTCTCAACTTACAGTGTTGACTTCTATTGCAGTGCATAAGATGTTTGAGACAGACTTCAGCTTTTGCTTCACCAGGTGGCAACCCTTCTGCCAATCAACATGAGAAGGAAGTATGGTGGATCAGCCGGTGGGCATGTGGCTGTCCCATGTGTGGTGGGACTTGGGTTAGAGTTGTATAGAGCATTGGAAGAGTGGGCATGTGGCTGTCCCATGTGTGGTGGGAGTTGGGTTAGAGTTGTATAGAGCATTGGAGTAGTTCACTAACAGTGGTTCTTCCAACTTCTGTGAACAGAAATGGTTCAGCACATGGAGACAAACACCTTTGACTCTGCCAGCTTATTGTGGATTTGTCACTCTGGTCATGTACTATACCTTAAAGATCAGTGTGAGTAGCGAGGCTGGTCCTGAAGTTGGGTAATTGGTATATTGTCTGATCTTACTTTCACTGGTATACGGAGAGAAGTTTCGGAAAGAAGTCAAGATGATTGAAACCCAGTTTTCTGGAAATGGTCATCAAATTTAGGAACTAAGAAAAAATCCACCCACTTGGACCAAGTTCTTTTGTCCAATGGGTTGAATATATTAGGTTTATCTTCCTAAACCAGAGTTTTTCTGGGGTTGTAGTTATGTATAATAATGACACACCTGTTGTTTATATGAGGGCAATCCCATTGCTCCAAGTAGACGTCAAGTAATCAGATTTGCTTCTGAAATGTCTCTCTCACCCTCCCCTGTTATTTCTGGTGACTATGGTTGCTGCGGTAGTTGTTGGTCTTAATAAATGAGTGGCAGGGTGTGTGGGTTGCCTTGGCTTGTTTTGCGTTGAAGGTCCTATACAAGTGTTTCTCTGTAATCCTCCTGGTTATACTTGTGCCAAATTGTCCTAGAGTCGACTAGCTCAGATATTGCAATAGTTTCTGGTTCAGTTTCTTAGACCGTGTCTCCTTGTGCTTGATTTCTTTGTGCGCTATTCTCTTGAGTTTTCCTCGGCGAGTAAAACCGATTCTATCTATTTATTAGTAAAATTGTAAGTGCCATTGGGTGGAATTTTTGCAAGATAACTTTATCTGTTTGAAACGTTATTGATGCATGAATTGTGAATAACCCAGATGGAATGAATGATGACTGGATTTGTAAATTATGTGCTTTGCTTCACTATCTTCGGTTACTTTAACAAAGAAGCCTATAGGACAAAATTAAAACTTTGAACTAATTAAGATGGTCTCTGGTTCAAATCGTAGTTTTCTGTCTCGTTTACTTCAATCTTTTAACAGTTCTGTTTCCTTAATTAAGAACCATGATTTATTAATGGGGAAGGACAAAGGGGTGTTAGTACAGTTGAAGTAAACCCTCCTAAATAAACAACGAAATTGTAGCATTAGCTATAGAGAACCAAATTAAAGATTGTTTGAACTCCTAGATCTAGATACCCACCTAACTTTTGCTGACGTTTCTACCACTTACAAAAGATGTTCATAGAGGCAAGACAGACTCTTGTCATAAGGAATAAGAAATAGGACGAAGACAATGAATGGAATGGTCCCAAAGTCACTAGAGAAGATTGAATGAGTCTTATCGAAGTTCCTATGGTAAATTGATAGCTTTTGGAAAAGAAAGGAAGGCGCTATTTCAATATGTAGAGGAACATCTAAAATAGAAATCATTGATTTTAAAAAGAATTTATTATTATAAGCCACAGCTGTAAGATTTATATCACTTCTCAAAACAGTCTCAATGTCAGTATGGAATGATATCATATATAAAACTTCCTGTTGGTACTTAAAGAATGAGATGGAAGTGTGACAAATGATATAATCTAACAAAGTATATATGAAGTCAACCTTCTTGTACAATTATCGATTATATTAATTCAAAAAGTACTCATATTGACCTGTTTAACAATTACTATTACAAAGAAAGAATGCGTAGAACATACAAGTGATATAATATAATTATTTTTACTGTTCTTCAACCATTACTATCTTCCTTCTACATTATATTGCAGGAATTTAAACCTTAAGACTTGCAAACTAGTACTTCTGAATGGTGTTATCGATGATTATTTCACAAAAGAACATCAAGTCCTCCTCTCCCACCCCTGCTTTGCATATACATCACAATCTTCTCTCTCAGCGATCACACGCTAAACCTGCAGCAAACAATGTAAAGCCAGATTCTTGAATACTCCCTTTCAAAAGTATTGGCCTTTTATTATCCCTTTGCCGGAAGATTAATCATGGATGATAAACGCTTCTATGTTGATTGCAATGACATTGGTGTTGAGTATCTAAATGTCCGAGTCAGTTGTCCAATGTCTGAAATTCTCAAACCTTGCTACAGATTCAGTGTACTCACAAGACTTGCCTTGGAGGACTCCTAGTTCATTCAACGACAGAAGGCCACTAGTGGTCCAATTAAGCCATTTTGATTATGGTGGCATAGCGGTCAGTGTATGCATATCACATAAGATTGTTGATGCATGTGTATCTCTAAGTTCCTCAATGATTATGCTGCTATAACTCGAGAGACTGATTTCAAACCATCTCCCAGTTTGATGTGAATTCTTTCTTCCTACTAATGGATGATCCTTCAGTATGCTGTGCCTGATGTTCAACGTGATCAGCATCAACCGCGTGTGTCAAAAATGTACCGTTTCTCATCCTCTAGTTTAGGCAGACTCAAGGATACAGTTTCAATGAATCTAGGAGTGCAGAATCCAACTCGATTTGAAGTTGCCACAGCACTTATACATGAATGTGGAAGGGCAGCGTCCAAGGCAAATAATTCAGGCATATTCATACCATCTCTATCGTGCCATCTAATGAATTTACATCCACCATTGCCCCTAAACACCATTGGAAATGATGTTCATTTCTTTAATACAAGAGCAGCGACAGAAGATGAGATACAAGTGCCCCACTTCGTTGCTCAGCTATGCAAGGCTAAACAACATCCTCGATATCAGCTAGCCTCACGTTCACTTATGGAAATCATATTAGAGCCAGCAGGTAAGATCACATTAGACATAACTATGATTTTTATCTTTGTGCCAGCTTGTGCCATTAGGCTATATTAGGTTGATATTGAATGGGGTAGCCCTACAAGGGTGACTCCACCAAAAAATCCAATGAAGAACAACTTAACTTTCTTGGATGACCCAAGTAGAGACAGGATAAACACACTAATCACTTTGACAGAAATTGATATGTCATTATTTCAGACTAACAAAGAGATCCTAGAGTTTGCTGCTACTCCTGTTTAAAAGACGCCTTTGCCAAGCTAGCCATTATGTGATCTTCATATCCTTTTTTTAGTTTTTTATTTTTGTGGAGGTTAGGGGTTGTACAATTATTTAAGTTATATCTTCTATAAATCAGTTGCATGTCTATATCAACGTTTACTTGGCTTTGTACTTTTGCTTTTGCTTGAATGATGGAATAACATTTGACCTTGTAACGTAGAATAGAGGGTAAATGAAATCATGTACCATGTAAAATACAACAATGACATTCTCCATAGCAATGACAGATCTAGCAATACTAAAAGACTTTAGTAACAGTTCAAAACAGAGAGCAAGAAAAAAACAGTTCAGTGTAAGTAGGAGCATCCAAGAGCAGTTTATACAAGTGTAAAAAATGTTTAAAATAAATATCTGAAACACGAGTTTTTGATGGAACTAGTGTAAGACTCACCAGTATATTCTATTCAGACTAATTTTTCCGTCGTGCTAGAAGCTCAGACCCAACCTCAGCTTCTGGATCTGTCACCAAAAGAGTTAAAAGAGCTTGCTGAGAAGTATTTAGACTGATGATATACCTACTTTGAAGCTACTTAAGCTGTATGGATATGTGGATTATCAGCTAATGATTTTTAAAAAAGAGTTCACCAAGAACAACAGCAGTAAATGGCAAATAATCGAATCATCGTACAGATTCACAAAACTCTGACACAATTAAAATAAAAGAGTGGCTTGAAAACTATTGGGAATGGGCATAGGCCTATATTTGTTGAACCATTTTAAGTCTTACTTATTCAACATTCATTGATAACAAATGAGTTTCTATTTTGCATCACCCCCCCCCCCCCCACACACACCTACACACATACAAATGGTGACATACTCAAAAAAACATAGAACATGAACATTTGGTTGGTCTAGCTGTTGTGATTTCTTTTCTTCCTTTCTCGTTCACCTGAAACCACCATCTAAGTGATTCAAGATTACGAGGTTTTAAAATAGAACCAAGAATACTATACCTGAAAGTTTGTTCAACATAAGGATTATGAGAAATGAAATACGATATGCAGCTTGAATCATGGTCCATAAAGCACTATTTAGATCCACAATTGCAGATTCCATTACTAAATGTTATACAACAAATGAGAAAACCCAAGTGGATATATAGAACATGATTAATATAACACCATCTTGGCTCCTTCCAGTAGTTATAGTGGAACCAGCAGTTCTTTAAGTCAAATGGGGGTGATATTTTCATTAAACACTTGGGATGTAAAAGATATCTTAGTTTAAGATATTGATGCACATTTGAAAATGCAGATTATAAAAATTATCTATTTCTGCTACATTAAGTTGCAACACATATATGAAAGGTTTTTTATCTTGAACTGGATCTTTTGTAAGACTACCGAGTCGCTATCATTGTGTCTAGGAATGAAACCACTTGGTAGTTCAGTACAAGGAATGGAGGATTTCTTAGAAGGGCACTTCACTCTCTTAGTAGGCCTACCAGCACAAATCCAGATAAGTCAGGCTAGCAAGTTTCAGATACCAATTTCTATCAAAAGGTAACAAATCAAAAGAGATCAAGACATGATCACAGCTTAACTTTTTGGTGTAGAAAGTATATTGTTTATGATGCTAAATAGATCTCTTTAAGTCCTAGCAAGAATAATTAAGGAGTATGAGTTTCTTGTAATGCTATATTGTACATATCCAGCACTGTTTAGTGCTGTTCTGTATAGAATTTTATTAACTTATAAGAAAAAATGAATGAATTTTCCTAACATGACAAGAAAATATAAAAGAACAGAAAAAGCTCAGATGTAGCCAAACAGGTGAAGGAAGACTGCAAAAATGGGCACAAAAAGTGCCAAGCTCATGCCAGGATTTGCCATGACAAAATCTTTGGTAATCTTGAGAACTTGTATTCCTGTTTGAATCCTTGCTGCCCATCTCACCATTCTTTCCAACTCATCTGGTGACAAAGATGAGATGACCTGCTCAGCTTTCTCTGCGTCCTCCTTTGTAAGCTTCAAATTCAAATTGTTCACTCATGTTAGTGAGTATCCAACCATCCATCTCTGAATAATTTCATAGTGGTTGAAATGAATTATTTTAGGGATGAGGATGGGGCTCAATATTTACATAAACTTAAAGGGGTTTAGCACAAATTTTGTGAAGAAAATAACTAAATGGTCATTGCATCTTGATTGTCATTACAAATAACTTATATAGAATGTTCTAATTGCTCATTACTAATTTTCAACACTTAGGAACTAAGAAAACAAACAAAAAGGGAAACTCAACAATCTTCTCATGTTGGAACCTCATGTGAAAATTTACAAAGCTGAGGCCCTTATGGAAGATGCAGGAGGCTTATTGAAATACAATAGGGAAACAGAAAATAACAACAGGAATGAAGACAAAGATAAAGTACTTTTTTCTTTTCTTCTTTATATTGTAGTTAGTTAAAGTGAGGTCCAAATGAACCTAAGCCTGCTGGCCCCAATTAGCCCAGTTGGCAGAACTTCCAACTCTTGGCATGCTATTCACCTTGGAGTAGACATCAACTTTGAAGCAAGCTCCACACATGGCTCCTTCACTATCCACTCTTGGCATTGCTTTCATCTTGAAACTTGGATGCTCAAAGCTCTTCAATCCACTTTCACTGTGGTACATGCACCCTGCCAAGATATCCATCTCATCAAAAATCAATTTTTTTTCAATGTATTTTTCTTGTTAAAAGAAGTTGTATCCCATCAGCCTCTTGTCAAGTGTAACTGGAAAAGATAAAAGACATCTTGCTTTAAACATTGGTCCAATTTGAGCTACATACCGGTTGGGAAGGGAGCAAATGATTTGAGACAGCTTCCTTTGATATGATCCACATTATCAGAGATCATGACAGATCCATCAGATGCTATTCCCCAGAACATCTTTGCAGTTTCATCAGCACCCTATACATAGACACAATTCATGACATTCAATGAAAGAGAAAAAAAGGAAATTATGTCTTAATAGAATATAATAAATGATCTATTGTATATGTTCCCTTTCAAGATTGATATCACCATCATTCCATCTCCAATTAGAGTAAGAAAATGTTGTTTATATACATTTATAGAGACAATGCACTTTCTTTTGGTGATTGTAACTGCAAGAAAGAGATAGAATCTGCTAAAATCATTTCTTTCTATCTGCCTAAGCCTTAGTAGGCAGTTATGACATAGCTGTGTTGGTAAGAGGCAACATGTACTCTAATGAATAGTTGAGGTGCTCAGCACTAACAGGCTTGAAAACTACCATTATTAAAAATTGCATATTGATGGGGATAAACTTTAGAACTAGAAAAGAACTCACAAGGGCAACAAAGACATTACCAGCCTTATGATCATAGATCACAAAGCCATAGCTACCCTCAAGTCCCTTGAGAACCTCATGAGCTGGGAATGGACCTCTGTCACGAAGGGTACGATATGCTTCACTCACAAGCATGGCCTCATTGGTACCCTTTGACAGACCATACTGCTTGTTTAGTGCCCATAAGTTATTCAAGCTTCCCAAGAAAATGCAGTATATGTCATTCAACCCACAGAACAACCTGAAAAACCAAAAAAGTCCATACATTTGTCTCATTACCACAAATAAAAAGCTGCAAAATGACAAAAGAACGAAGAATTCAAGAAATGATCATTAACATTTAGCATCCCACTACATCTTTTTGTTTATTTACTGGTGAAAAATTAAATCTTTACGATCATTTCATAAAAAATATAGCCAAATCTCAAGATAACAGAGGCATGGGTGATTTCTTTTTTCTTCTGGTGGGGGGTTAAAAAGATTCACCTTTGTTGAGCATTTGATGAGGATGGAGGTTTGGAATAGGCCAAGAATGCCTTGTCCATGAATCCAATAGAAAACCCATTGTTGGTATTTGAAGCTAAGAAATTCTTCATAGTCTCTTCAGGGGAAACAGCCTTGTTTGATGATTGCAAAGAGGCTGGGCTCTGCAGCTCCATTGGTGGATCAACCACACTTTTCTTGAAAATTGCCAACATTTTCTTTCTTCTCAAACAAAATCTATGAAAAAGTAAATTAGTGAGAAAGCACAAACAAGGTGATAAACTTTGGTACAAAATGTAAGAAATGATAAGTGATTAGATGAGTATTTATAGCTAAGAGGGTTGGAGGAGACAAAAAGTGTCAAACATTATCCATTAATAATCTTGAGATGGAGAGAAAGTTAAGTTAATTATATAAAAATGGGCAAGTGGGGCCACTGGTTGTTTTTATGGATTTTAGTGGGGCCATAGAATAAAAAAAAAGTCACCCCCCCCCCCTCCCTCCTCTTAACTTGAGGTGGATGACATGGAACCAAAAAAAATTTTTGTTTGTTTTTTCACTTTAAACTTGAGGTGGACAGTATAAAGAATATGTTAATCTTATAATATGGACAAGAGTTGGACCATTGGTTGTGTTTGAGGATTTTAGTTCTTTGGATTAAATAAATGTTTTCTTTTTCGCTTTAAAACTTGAGTTGGATAACAAAAACAATATGTTAATCTTATGAAATGGCCAAGTTAGATTAGACCATTGGTTGCTTGAGGATTTTAGTTCCCAACAAATCTTGGATTAAAAATTGAAATGGTCAAAATTTATCTATAAAAACATGAATCGACAGTGACACAAATCCTAATCAGCAAATCATACTTTATGGATAAAACTTCACTAAGTATTATATTCCCTTTTGGCATTTCTTCACGTTCTTGAATCTCTACTTCAATTTTATAGTTTTTTTTTCTTTTGGTAGTTTGAACTTTTATGTTGTCTTCAATAAGAAATGAGAAAGAGATCTGATTATTCATTCATTCTCCTTGCTCTCTTTGTGTTAGGTTAACATTAGTACTTATATTGAGATGAATATTGGGTTATTTTAACCTCAACTAATTAATAAAGGAAATGAATATTATTGAAATATCAATATTTAGATGAATCTGCAATCGAATAAAATTGAAAAGTATTAGTACTAGAAATGATTTAAAATCACATGAAATTGGTATCAACTAATAGTTGAACAAGGCTTATATTTTAGTAATATTGAGCATTATATAGATATATCCAAAATCTGGTCATTACAATAGTTTGAAACATGAAAAACTTCTCCTAATAGAGAGACTATATCAAGCAGCTCAAACCACCCACCATATGGCTGGGTTAGCGTTGCAATTGTGATGGAAGAAAAATAATTATCGAACGGCCTTGACCGCAGCTAAATGGCCGATTGCAAGCACTAAAACTATACAAGACTATAAACATGGAAGATATTCAGAAAATTAAGAGGCATAATCCTTCTTGTAGCATTTGTCTTCAGGATAAAAAATGGCAACAGCAGTATTCCCTCCAAATTTCCTGCCACCAAGTGCTGCCTTTGCTTTCGTGCAATCGATAGTGTCAGAGTACTCGAGAAATACCTGCAGTTTGAAACACAAAACCATCTGAAAGAAGGAGAGGGGGGGGATTCAAGATCGAAAAAGACTACTATAATTGTTGCGTATTATCCTGACTGTTGAAATATGGCTATATATAACACCCATGCAGGGTTGAAGTGAACTATCAAGATGTACATTACTGGCAAAATGATCAATTGATTGTGATGCTACATTCTGTGTGCATTTTTTATGAGGATTAAATAATGAGTCGTTTCAATTCTCTGTGCAGCAGATTGAGGATTAATACATATGAGAGACAGATGAGGAAAGAAAAAAATAAAAATGCTTATGCATCACTTCTTCATTCAAAAATTGCCTAAACAGTACATTCTAAGATGATCTCAAAATCTAGAGTCAAACAGTAAAAAGGAAAATAAGCGATAACTTGTAGTAACAGAGCACTTTATTTTGCCAATGTCAACCAAGAAGTGACCATGGACTTTCAATGGCAGCAAATTATTTAAACAATAAAATATATTTGCAGAACACACAGCACAGATACAACAATTGCTCAGCATAACAAAATCGAATTAATTTTTAAAGCTCGGACACGTAAAAGTGACAACATTATTACCTTCCCAAAACCATCACCATTTTTTGATCAGGTTCTGGCCGAGGAATAACAACATCAATCAAGTCACCTATAATTCAGCCAAAGGAAATCCAATACTGACTTATCAAATACTTAATTGTACAGATTGAGTAGCACATATAAAAGGAAATCCCGAAATAGAAATGGATGTACAATATATCAGGAAATATTAATAAACTGAAAGACGAGAATCCACATAAATAGGGAACACGTCAATGAAAGTAGCAGAGACTTATGAGGGGTAGTCCTATGAGTGAAATCGACATTATAGAGCAGCAGCTTGCGAGACAAAATTCGTGGCTGAAAGTTCAAGCAAGAACAGTTGAAAGTATATTGTTCCGCAAAGGTACCCAATCTTTTATCATCAATTCAAAAATGTTTCGCCCATAGAACTGAAAACTATTATAAATCCAGTTACCTTTTTCCCTTAAACTCTTCTTCATTTAAGTCTTAAATCATTGGTTCATCCAATTATGAAGGTGAGCAATCAACCATCATACTATAAATCAATTTGAAAGTGTCTCATTTTCAATCATCTTTTTTTAATAGAAACAATTTCTATGTGAACATGAGAAACAGATGGAAACAAAAGAACATATCATAAAACAAAAAAGAGATAACAGAAGATATTTTAATGAATGAGAAGCTGCAGTTACCAAATTTTTGGCCTCCTTCTTCATGTCTTCCAAAATTTCTTCATACTCTACGTCATCAAATAATTCTTGAGGGGTAATCACCTTCAAAACATCCAGAGAATGACTAACTCGTTAGCATTACTACAATATTTTACCTTGTCATTATCGGTTAAGCATAAGACCTTGGTTGGAATTTCAGCAGTCACAACAGGCCCTATCTCTGTACCAGGAATAGTCATACCACTAGCTTCAAAAGCCATTTCTGCAAGCAAGCAATGTAATCTTCAGCATTCAAAATTAAGGGAAAATGCACAGTGTCCCAATCACTTTTAGCTTATTGAGGTCAGTTTGACCAATTTTAGGAGTTAGATCAGATCAATTTATTTATTATATTGAATTAAAATTAGAGTTTAGAAGTTTCACAATAAGTACAACAATTACAATTCGCACATATCAAACTGCACGTGAACATATTATAAAATGTTAGTTAAAGTTCACTTTAGCTCAAAGCTCAAAAAGTGAAAAATGTCGAAACTTTTGGGACAAAGGCAGTATTTAGAATAATAATTTAATACTGTAGAAAGTATTCAAACCTGCATAGCTATGTGCAGCCTTGCCTGAGCTAATACACACTCCTGTTCAGATTTCACCTGCCCACTGCTGTTAAACATGATTGGAAAAAAGTTATAAAAGAGCACAGTAAATTACCAGGGAGAGGTTAAATACAGAACCACAAGTGTGGTTCCAGAAACCACACACCCCTTCATCGAAATAACATATGGAAGATATAATCAGTATATGGGAAGAAGTTAATCATCATTCAAAAGTTTACTTGGCTGCTGAACATTGTTAAGCTCAAGGCGGTTTACAAATTCTACTTTTTGAGACTGACGAAGTGAGCATGCAAGACATTTGTTTCTAAAAGCACAAGACTCTTTACTGAGCAAATAAACAAAATTTGATTCAGAATTATCAGTTGGTACACTGTTCCCAAAGATTGACAAAATTGATAAAACATCTCAGACTATCCAAATTGGCTGAAGACACACATTTCTTGGGTCGCATAATGTACTTCCACATTTCATCTCACAGGAAGGTCATCACTCATACATGAACATCAAAAACATAGTAATCTGGCAATGTACAGTATAGACCCGGATGATGTTTGAACACAAAAGTAAACAATCAGAAGAGTTCAGTTTAGAAAAATTGATTTGTTACTATAAATGATTGCTTCAGATGCCAAACAGAAATAGATGTACGACAAAGAAACCACTATAAATTCATTCTACTAAAACACAAACAAAGAGGTAATGCAAGACCTAGAGGAAATTCCAAGAGCAATATTTCATAGAAAAAAAGAGTTTAGGAGATGAAATCCGGACTAAATTACTGCAGGCCAAAATTTGTGAAAAGAAAACCTGGGAGTAAAGCGTATTAAAGAATAAAGAGTTATCAATTCGGAAATTCATATTGTTAAAAAAATTATTAGGAAACCTCTTTGGGGGTAAAGGAGAACTTGATCTTGATCTAGCTTCTTCATGAGACCGATCCTTTGACCTAGAACGGGATCCACATGTTTCACCCTTATATCTACCTCCACGATCTTGGCGCCTATAAAATCACAATAATAACAAAATGGCCAAATAAAAATGATAATCATTTTAATGTTACCATTCTCACAAAAAAAAATATTCATTCATCCAGTGTGTTACTTGTACTCGTAAAACAATCATGTAAGCTATATATATAATCCATCATGAAACAAAAGGTTTATATGTATAATTTGGCTGTGTGTTTTTCTTTAATTCTTTAATATCTAATAACCTGCCAAGAATCTGTTGCTGTGAGAAGTACAAAGATAAATATGAAATGATAAATATCGTCTTTTTTTCTTTCTATTTGCACTTTTCCCACCTATCCAGTTGTGGAACCTTATTTTGAACATATTTTGGGTTTAAGATATGTGATGCCAAAGAATGTCAAGGAACTCCTTGGGCGCTGAGCAGATTATGGAGAACCATTCCTGCATCTGTCTGTTAGGTGGTGCAGAAAGAAAGGAATCAAAGATGTTTCAACAGAAGAACTGCACTCTTTGTCCTCAAATAGAGATGCTTAGTTAGTTAGCTTTTCAGTGAATGTATAATATGCATATGAAGAGCACTCTATGGCAGATTCCGTTTAGTTTATTACAAAGTTGAACAAATTTTGTACTTGGGACATCCTACTGTAGTGTCCAGAACAGCCTTAGTGCTAATGTTGCCCATTGATAGAAAGCTTTACTTATCAAAAAAAAATGTATAAAATAAAGGAAACCAATCAAAGAAATATTCTTCTTATAGTTGAAACAGCAAGAATTGTCTTATGTTGGCCAAAATTACAACTGTACAAAGACTTCCAGCTGAGAGCCGAGTGCCTTGATTTTCCTCATGGAACTGTTTGTGTTAACAAATCCTATATATTAACTATCCTCTAACTATTTATTTCTTCAAATTGAATGTAGCTATAACATTTGGAAATTAGACAGAACATAATAAACCATGAGGGAAGTATGACCTATCAATTCAAAATAGACTCACCCCCTACCCCACAAAAGAACCATCATAACAAATGGAAAGATCTAAAAGCTTATGCATACAAACACTTTTCCTAAAATGACCTGTCAAATTTATGGTTCCTGGAACGGCTGTAATCCTCATTGTCGTCATTTCTTCTGTGGCTCCTGGTGCTTTTATCCTTGTAGTCCTCACGCTGACGGTGACCGTGACGGTATTGATCTCCAGAATAATTAGCCTTCACTCTAAAGTGCTGCGATCCATTAGACTGGCTCTGGAGAAGCTCAATTAGACGATATTCTGAAATTAGGCCATAGCAGCAAGCAAAGAAATATATGCTCACGAGTTCAGGAGATGACATACAAACTAAAATTGGCCTAACTGATCAAAATTCCCAATCAAAAGCTTCTTCTATGGAGTTGACAATGTAGGAAACAAAAAAGAGACAGGTTATTTTAAGTAAGAGTGCTTGAAATTAAATCGAATTGCATGAATACAACATGCAGATTTTAATTATTAAACATCAAATACTAAAGTTCCATTATATGTCCAACCTAAGTTGCTCGGACTCAGGTGCACAGTGGCGGATCCACCTTGGTACAACCCCCTTCGACGGAAAATTATAATATTTATACATGATTAAAATAATATTTTATGTATATATAGTAGATGTTGAACCCTCTTCGGCTATTCCGAGTCTATTTCTATGAATTTTGAACCCCCTTATTGAAAATCCCGACTCTGCCACTGCAGGTGCGGGTGTCCGATGCGGGTGCGAATCTAGAGGTCCGATCCTTCATGATCTAATTTTTAAGATTTGGGAATATGGATCCAGGTGCGGGATTCGCCTAAAAGTAATTGAAATATCTAAAAAATAGAGTTATAAATTAGATATTATGTGGAGAACTTGAGGAAAATCTTGGAAGGAGATTAAAGGAAAAAAGAGTAACATAGAAATTTCTATATAAAAGGTATTCCATTTTCTTCAATTTTGCCTTAGCTTTTGTATTGATTATAGAAATCATTAAAACTATCCAAATTCCCATCGATTTTGGTCAAAATACTCAAAATCGGTTGGCCAAATCGGACATGAATCTCACACCCACACCCAATCACCCATGTTGTGTCGACACGGGTGCGGCACCTAAAGTAGATAGTCCAAGCGACTTAGTATCTAAAACCATTGTTCCATAATATATCCAACACCATTCTACATGGTTCCAGGATATGTTTAGCAACTTTAAATTGGCATAGTAGATAAAAAGTATGGAATTGCTACATGGGGGACATAATTTTTAAGTACTTCCTTTTACCTTTAGTATGATGATGCACTAGTCAACATACCTGTAGCTCAACTAATCCACCGAGTACCTTCAATTTCTCACTAGCACATATACCGGGCAGCTCTTTTTCCACCAAAACTTAAGAAGTATTGGAATAAACCACCTACTTCTTTTTGTCAACATTACTCTCCCATGATAGACACCAAGGTCGATTACTACTCCAAGGTAACTCTAACACCCTTGGCTAATACTTTCTACTCCAACGTTGTCAGGGCTAATACATTTTAATTTTCATTCTCGAAGTTCTTAGAAATGAGAATTTCTATCAATTTGGGGTTGCATTTTCTCTTCAGCCATAACCATGTGGCAATGTAACATAAAAATTCCATTCGCACACAACCATTTCTCATCCTACAAATTTGGTAACTCAATAACCTGATATCCATAAACCACCAACACTTATTCCATTCAGGTTACCGGTTTTGCTAGAGTTATGTACCCACCTAATCTCTACACAACACAAAAAAATTGTCCTACTGGAGCTTCAAGTCGTAATCTTCATCCAACTAACTGTTGCTTGGAATAAAATAAAAATATAGCACTCTTTCTCAGATTAAATTGATTTAGTTCACGTCCAAGATCACCAGTACAATAGAAATTTGTCGTCACTTCTTTCGTTAGGTCAAATTACTAGATTTTGTGATGATTCTATCAAATTATTCAAGCAAATTATGAGCAATTTGAATCAAATTATGATATGGTCAGAAAATTTTAAGAGAAAAATTGACCTCGTGATGATGCGACTTCCGATCTTTGTAAGAATACGGAGACGATCTTCTCCGATCGTCATTTTTACTTTCAAATCGAGGCATGTCAGTAGTTTTGAATCTTTGATACCAAATTTTGATGGAAACGAGAATTGGGAAAAAGTTTGGATTTCGATTTTGAACATCCGGGTAATAACTTAGTGGGCTCAATTTCTCTCACAAAAATTGGGCTAAATGAGGCCCATATTTGAAGTAATTGGGCTAAATGAAGCCCATATTTGAAGTGATTTGGTTCATGGGCTAAATGAGGTCCATACTTAAGTGATTTGGGCTGAATTTCTCTCACAGTTTTTGTTAATATATATAAAATTGTTCTTGTTCTATCTCTCTAGCTTGAGAAAGGCAAGGGGGGCAAAGAGAGAGAAAATATTATATGAAATATATACATTATCTAATTCATACTACATGTTTAGATAGTTTGGTTAAATTCCTTATGAATCATTGGTTAGTTGGTTAAGAGTTAAGTTACGTTATTTCTTTATATTCTGCATAATATAATATTATCTTTGGTAGCATTATTTGTTATGTATAACATTTAATACAATATTTGGTATGTAATTTAAAAACATTCACAACTAACACATATGTAAAATTAATGAAATTTATGTATTGTTTTGCGTAGAATATTGCTAAATTCTACTTAACTACGTAATTCATATATGTAAATATAGTAGTAACAATATATGCATAACTCTAACCAGCAATCAGACAATTCCTTACTATTCAGTCATCCACCTATATGCATTACATATTTAAGCTATGAAATCTATCAATCAATAGTATATAAATACACTATTTACGTTATACTTCTTAAAATACGATTAATTTTCAAACCCCAAAAAAATATCTCATGAAAAATTTTATTTTTTTCCACAACACAAGTTGGCAGCCAACAAAGAAGACTCAAAATAGAAAATAGAGAACTATCAAACCCCAAATATTATTATTAGAGAAAGAAATGACATGTAATGAAACGTGGTTTTCTTCTGTTACAACAACCATGATTAATATCGTACATTCAAATGTACTGATATATATTTTAGTATAAGAAACACAATCATAGCAAATTGTAATTATTGTCAAAATTTTCAACATATTTTTTTAGTCTTATCCGGCAACGCCTCCAAATCGAGTACATGTATATGTGTCAAACTCGATAAGACCAAAACGCGGAGTTCACACGGGGTTATGGACTTATTTATATTTGACCATAGGTATCATGGGCGAATTTATTTATTTTTTCTTATCGGTGTGTTTTTGGAAGTATATTCTTTTTTTTTTAAACTATTTTTATAATTGTTTTTCTCAGAAAAAATTCAATTATACCTTCTCTTTTTTTTTTTTTTAAAGTAGATATTTGAAAATATCTTTGAATTTGGTTTAAATTATTAGTTTCATTTATGAATTATTTGTGATTTTAAAAATATTCTTTTATTTGACTAATTGTACTTAATTTTTTTTAAATTTAACTGTGTTTTCAACATTTTTTTCAAATTATTTTTAACTAAGAGTCGCATATTTTTATAAGAGTTTAAAATCACTTGTTATGTCATATGGCATATCGATGTTTTTGAGGCTGACAATAATTTGGGGACTAATCATCTATGCCAAGTTAGAAGTGTTTTTAGTCCATTTTAATAATCAAAAAGATTTTCTAAACTTTCAAATTTCTTTTCTACCCTTTAAATTGGTTTTATTTGAGAGTATTTTTAAAAAATATTTTTCAAAAAATAATAAATTTGAGAATGGAAAAGGAGATCACAATATTAAAAATCGACTAAATATCAAATTAAATAACGTCACCTAAATGAAATTCATTGCTATCAGCGTCTTCAATTGGCCCTTTAATACGTCCCTTGGAGTAATTAAGGACCACATATTAGAAACCCCTATGAGCTTATGCCACGTAGCATAACTTTTAGTTTTGGGCATTTATTCACATGAATTTCGTTTATTTAGGTCCCTCCCTGTCATCGTGGCCAATTATTCTTCCACAAAACTATTTTTATCATGAATGGAAATTTGAAAACTATAGATCGATCAAACAAACACAATATATTTTTTAATCTTTTAAATTATCATGTAGATTTAAAAGTCATCGACTCGAATAATCTAAATATATACAATATAAATTTAAAAATAAAAAAATCTTTTATACTAAAATTAATAAACAAACAATCACTACCTGAGGAACAGTTTTGTCTCTTTCGATTTTCTTTTTAGTCAAATGAGCACGTTTTCTATTATTTTCTTTAATCAAATACATAATTTTCATGGAATAGTAATCCATGAAGTTATCGATATCGTTTTCGTTTAATTTCACGTTATCTGCATGCATGTTTACGAATTTTTTTATCAAACTAAGTTATTATATAAAGCAATTATTCAAAATAATATGTATTTCTAAAATTTTACAAAATTAGTATAAACGTATTTCACAGTAACGTTTTAGAGTATATTTCGTTTTTTAAAAAAACTAACTGCGTTAGGTTGATATATGTTACTGTAAGTAATGTTTTCCTCCTAAAATGCTATTTTGAGCAATGTTTTACTCCCAAAATGTTACTGCGACGTTTTAGGAGTAAAGCGTTAGCGTGAGTAATGTATATCAACCTAACACCGTCAGCTTTTAAAAAATAAAATATACCTTAAACGATACTGTGAAATACGTTTATACTAGTTTTGTAAATTTTTTTAAAAACATATTATTTTGATTAGTTACTTTAGTTTAGTCAAAATATCCATGTTTACTTCAATAATTTGTGATGATGGACAAAATATAAAAGATTCCGTCTTATTAAAGTGAAATATTATTAATGTTCTTATTAGATGTAATTTCTATGTCGTGTAATAGTCGTAGGAATTAAAAAAGGGACTTGTGTACATAGTAAGGATATATATAGTATAGCGGATTATAGATTTAGGTGAATTTAATGATTTTTTTTGCTCTTATAGTATTAACTTTAGGTTGATATATTAGGTACTTTATTCGTTCACTTTTATTTGTCATATTATGCTTTTTAAAAGTTAATTTAATTAATTTGTGAAATTAAATTAGATTGTATTAATTTGATATATTAAATAAAATAATTAAATATTTAAAAACTATACAAAGAATACATAAATTGCAATTTTTTACATATCAAAATGATGAAAAAATATATCATAAAATGTTAATCAAAGTTTTTATTGTTTGACTCTATAAAAGAAAATCATGACAAATAAAATCGTACAGAGAGAATAGAAATCATATAAAATTTAAATCTTGTATTCATACCTAGTGTGTAAAACTGAACATTAAAAAGATTTAAAGAAGGGTAAAATAAAAATTTGACAATCTAATAAAATAATAGTACTATAATTCCAAAAAATCAACAATAATTTACAAATGAATTTGAACAAAAGTATCTTAATTTTACTGCATCGTCTATTCATAAGGTTTATAAATCCTATTAAAGTTTCCATAATTATCTATAATTATTACTCTTTACGTTAGGTTTACGCCTAACTTCTCTCTTTTAAAAATCATCCCTTGCTCATCAATAAAATATTCTCACCTAGGTGTCCATCAGTGATTATAAGAAAAATGATTAATCATCGATCATAATTCATAAACAATGTAGTGTACGGCCTTTAATTGTGTTTAATTATTCTGTGGCATAAGTATTACTTTTTTGTATGATAAAACATAAAAAAAGAAAATTATGTTATCATGTGTATCATCTAGTAGTTTAAGAAAAATAATTACATAAACCAAATTCAAGGTCCTACTTTTATTTTTATTTTATTTTTTGTCGTTTTTTACACTGTCTTTTCAAAGTAGGCAAATAATAGATATTATTAAGCTCCGACCATAGATTTAGATAATGCTTGTGGCAACTAGATGATTAGCATTGAGATATGTTTAACGTAAATCCAGTGTTACCAAAAAAAAATTAAGATATGTTCAAAAACAATTTGAATAATCACTTATTTAACAAGTTAATAATTCTTAATTAAAATTTCAAACATCAACTAGTCCCACTAGTAGGAAACGCCTTGTTATGAAAAATGCACATTAAACATTATATTAGGTTTGTGGAAAAAGAAAATAAGGTTTTCTATCGTTCGTTTAATATCTGTTTGTGCTCATATTTATTTAATATTGTGTTAATCTTTTCATGATTATGTAATTTCAAAGGGTGACGTTATATATTAGTTTATTATGATTAAGAATTTGTCACATATGACTTGCACTATAGTGTAAAATTTGGTACCCTTAATTAATGAACATGTCATCGTTGATTAAGATTCGTTTACAGAGACTGAAATTTCTAATGATTGAATAGAATTAATTTGATTAAATATTTGATACGGATAACAGGATAAGTATATACATGCATAGACTGGTAACGTAGAAATTGTAAGATGTATAATCATAAAAGAAAAATTATTGAAAACACACCTGAATTGGATGTAAATATTAATTTCTTCCTCTTTACATATTTAAAAACGTTCATTTATTTGACTAATTAAATTTAGATACACTCATGATCTGTCACATGACTTAAGGTCTCAAGCTCTTGTAGAAACATGTGACTCTTAATAAAAAATCGTGAGAATCGTTGAAAACACTCGTGCACTTGATCGAAAACAAGGATATATTTCACTCGTATTATTGATCGAGATATATTTAAATTCAGTTAGTCAAATAAATGAATATTTTTAAGAATATCACAAATTCAAAGAGCAAACTAATAATTCACATCAAGTTTAACAAGTTTTATAATTTTATTTACATATTTTCCAAATTAGGAAACAACAAAGTGTAACAGCTTAGTGGTTCTATGGTGTAGTGGTTAGCACTCTGGACTTTGAATCCAGCGACCTGGGTTCGACTCCCGGTATGACCTCCATCTTTTTTCCAGTTCTATTTATTATTACCCTTTTACATTTTGAATGTAATGTAAAATAAAAATCTAAAATAATAAAACCAGTACTAACAAAACAATTGGCTGTTGATGAATACATTATACATTAATGACTTTCAATTGTTTTTCAATTTTATATGATATAATCATTAAATTGGTAAGGTGATATATATGTAATTTTATTTTTATCTTATGAAAATATTTCTGTGTTCTGATAGATCTACAATC